TTAGGCACAGAATAATCAACATGATTTTGTTCATTATCTTGTAGAATTACATGTTATGTTTAGGTTGAAGTTCCAAGCTTTTAAAAACTACTTTGTGTTTTTGGTGACTGATAGTGATTGCTTTAAGCGTTTAGAAAAGAAAATAAGAATATGAACATACTACTTGGGAAACACAAAATTGAAGAAGATTCTTGTTTGACATAAAAGGAGATTGTGTCATTGAGGTGAAGTGAGCCATTGAGAATTTTTCTGTTTTCTGTGAAAGAGGTATTTTGTTACTGATTTGGTGAGTTAGCCCATCTCCATTTTAGTAAGTTATCTAATCTTAACTTCAGTATATGAAATTACAATTTATTTTACTGAAATCTTTGCTTTCCTCCTTTTTTTCCTTATAGGACATTTGCTACAAGATCCTATTGCACCCACCAACTCCACCTGTCAACACTATGTCTGCAAAACTTGTAAAGGCAAGAAAATGATGATGAAACCTTCCTGTAGCTGGTGCAAAGACTATGAGCAATTTGAGGAAAACAAGCAGTTAAGCATCCTAGTGAACTGCTACAAAAAACTATGTGAATATATAACACAGACTACATTGGCACGGGATATAATAGAAGCAGTAGACTGTTCTTCTGATATTTTGGCTTTGCTTAATGATGGATCATTGTTTTGTGAGGAAACGGAAAAACCCCCAGATTCATCCTTTACTTTGTGTTTGACACATTCCCCTTTACCTTCGACCTCAGAACCCACAACAGATCCTCAAACTAGTTTATCTCCAATATCTGAAAGCACCCTTAGCATTGCTATTGGCAGTTCTGTTATCAATGGTTTGCCTACTTATAATGGGCTTTCAATAGATAGATTTGGTATAAATATTCCTTCACCTGAACATTCAAATACGATTGATGTATGTAACACTGTTGACATAAAAACCGAGGATCTCTCTGACAGTCTGCCACCTGTCTGTGATACGGTCGCCACTGATTTATGTTCTACAGGCATTGATATCTGCAGTTTCAGTGAAGATATAAAACCTGGTGATTCTCTGTTACTGAGTGTTGAGGAAGTCCTCCGCAGTTTAGAAACTGTTTCAAATACAGAGGTTTGTTGCCCTAATTTGCAGCCCAACTTGGAAGCCACTGTATCCAATGGACCTTTTCTGCAACTTTCTTCCCAATCTCTTAGCCATAACGTTTTTATGTCCACCACTCCTGCGCTTCATGGGTTATCATGTACAGCAGCAACTCCGAAGGTAGCAAAATTGAACAGAAAACGATCCAGATCAGAAAGTGACAGTGAAAAAGTTCAGCCACTTCCAATTTCCACCATTATCCGAGGCCCAACATTGGGGGCATCTGCTCCTGTGACAGTGAAACGGGAAAGCAAAATTTCTCTTCAACCGATAGCAACTGTTCCCAATGGAGGCACAACGCCCAAAATCAGCAAAACTGTACTTTTATCTACTAAAAACATGAAAAAGAGTCATGAACATGGATCCAAGAAATCTCACTCTAAAACCAAGCCAGGTATTCTTAAAAAGGACAAAATGGTAAAGGAAAAAATCCCTAGTCATCATTTTATGCCAGGAAGTCCTACCAAGACTGTCTACAAAAAACCCCAGGAAAAGAAAGGGTGTAAATGTGGGCGTGCTACTCAAAATCCAAGTGTTCTTACATGCCGCGGCCAACGCTGCCCTTGCTACTCTAACCGTAAAGCCTGCTTAGATTGTATATGTCGTGGCTGCCAAAACTCCTATATGGCCAATGGGGAGAAGAAGCTGGAGGCCTTTGCTGTGCCAGAAAAGGCCTTGGAGCAGACCAGGCTCACTTTGGGCATTAATGTGACTAGTATTGCTGTGCGCAATGCTAGTACCAGCACCAGTGTAATTAATGTCACAGGGTCCCCAGTAACAACATTTTTAGCTGCCAGTACACATGATGATAAAAGTTTGGATGAAGCTATAGACATGAGATTCGACTGTTAAATCAGTGGGTCTTTAAACCTACCTCTGGTAGGGAAATAGCTACAGTTTTACGGCAGCTATGGTTTTGTTGGTTTAACTTGCCGGAGCTCCTGCATATAGATCACTTGTATCAAGTGTTTTCATTGCTAAGTTATATGTGTTAGTGTCGGGGAAATAGTTTGCAGATAATGGAGGAGTAACCCTACAACTATATGTCCTTAGTTCTTACAGAACCTCATAGTTTTGAGAACAAATGCTGATGCAACTGATTTATACACAATGAACTTTGGCAAGGAGAATAACATTAACCTCATTGTTTATGGTCATGCTTTGTGCATAATCAAAGTTTATGATTAAGTGTAAGGAAGTGGTATCTAGTCAGTCCATAAAGATTGTGCTAATTTCTTGTGAAAAAGTAGCCATTAGTTTGTTCAGGAGACTCAGTGCTGCTTTCAGATGCCATTGATGTTTCTCCTGTTGAAAAGCTGATGTGTCCAGCTCAACCTTTGTGCTGACATACCATTTCTGATCATGAAAATTGGCTACTGGTGTATGTAGCAGTTCTTAAATCAGCAGTATTATGAAAGAAAATTTGCCCCTCATTAGAATGTTGAAGAAATATCTTTTAAAAGTAAACAAACTGAAAATCTGTCAGACTGCAAATGTTAGCTGTTTATGCTAAAAACTTGAGTCTTTTTTAGTTGTCTACTCATTTCTAGGGAAATACCATCTTTCACTTTGAACAATGTTCTAATTAGGTAAGTGAAGAGCAGTTTTATTCTGAAGGTAGCTGAATTTAGACTATAAAATATGACAGTTTTTTTAAACTAATTACATATTTTTTTAAAAAATTGGAATTTATTTAAAATAATTTCAGAATAATGCCCCCATGCATACTCAGATTTATTCATTATACTTATTGCCATTGGCCATTTTGATTTTTTGTTGTTTCCTCTAATAGTTTGCCACTGACTGTATTTTGAATATGCTCCCCCTTATTTTTTTTTTTAGGGTGCTATTTGTTATGAAGGCTTCATTATAGGGGCCCGATAATACCTTTTTTATGAAGCCTGTGCATAGGTAGATTTGAAACTAGGAGGATTTTCTTTAGAATGCTCTTTTGCATGTAAAGCACAAACTGTTTCAGTTTAAATGAACTTCCCTTAAATTTTTAGAGGGAAGACAAGTGAGTCACAGACATTCTGTTGAAGGGAAATCTGGTCAGTTGCTTGGAAGAGCACAGCCCAAATAAAACAAGGACTGACTGGGTTGTAAAGAAATGACCTTATGACTTAAAAGAAGAGTTGCTGCTTTGACAGTGCTTAAAGAAAAAATACTGCTGGAAAAATTATAAAATCTACTACTACGTTCACCATCTCCCATGAGATTTCACATGTGTTGGTTATGTTTTGATTTGGCACACAGCATGTTCAATGATGGTTACTCGCCTAGTACAAGACATGGAGAAGAAAACCTTTGGACACAGAGCAGATGACACCTCCTTCTGTTTTGTAGTGTATCCTGGTGTCATTTTCTGTGAATGTGGTCAGGTAGAGTTGTTTTTGTTGTTGTTGGGCTTTTTTTTTTTTTTTTTGTCTCTTTTTGGTGGGGTGGGGGTGGGCTAAAGCCATAGGAAGCAAAATGTGATGTATGTGTCCAGTATGTACTATTTTGTTTTTGTTTTGCAAGAAGAGTTGAACTATTTTTGATAACAAGAGTAAATGGTGGAAAATGCTTTAGTTGTCTTGTCTTTATTTACTTTCCAATTTTGGAATTTTATTGACTTCTAAGTATTAGCAGTGTCTTATGAAACATGTATTTGCCTAAAGTTTGTAATAGTTTTGTGTTAAACCCAGATGCCCTGCTATATGTAAACCTGTTCTTTATTCAATAATGATCACTGCAAAAATGACTAAAAATGAGATTGTATACATTGATTAGGATATATTTTGCAAATCTTCCAAATTTTCTTGATATGATCTTAAAATTCATGGAGAATCTTACTGCTTCCCCAGTTTGATTATCTTAATTTTGTGTTTCTGATGCATGGGAGGTTGGCAATATAGACAAAATGAAAACCATAAGTATGTGAGGGCCTTGATTATTATGTAATATTGCCAATGATGAATTCAGGTTGTTTTTAGCACAAGTTTCTCTTTTTTATGCTGGTATTCTCACTGCCACACTTTTGGAAACCTGTATGACACCTTAAATCTATCAATAAATGTTAGTTTTCTAATTCTATGTTGTTAGAATACTGAAGAATTCGGGATAGCATGCTCTGAATGGCCTTCATTATATATATTTGGGGAAGAGAAATTACAGTGCCTTGATTTTTTTTTTTTTTAATTGTATACTGAGTATTGTTTAGAAATGCTGACCAATGGCTAACTTGGGATGCTTGAGAAATTATTGCTGAAGTAACTGGATTTCCTTCAGTATTTGAAACCACCAAAAAAAGTTTTTAAAGATACATCTTCATTCCTTTGAATCCTTGTTACTGACATTAAGTGATCAAATGACCTTTTTCAGATCTGACAACTTATTCTTTTTGATTAGCTTCATTTTCATGCAGAGGGTATATTATGGTCACAGGATAAGAGAAATCCTTTTTATTTCATGATGTTCTTAGTTTCTTTAAAACAACACTGGTGATCTTGCTGAAGAAAAGTTTTACATAGTAGGAAAGAAATTTTCTTATATGATAGGTGTAATAATATAAAATAGTAATACATAGTGGAGTCTAAAACTTGGATGACACTTTTAACATTTTAAAAAAAGTTTGGATATTCCGATAATTACTTTTTTTAAAGAATACATTATAGATACAGCTAAAGTCTCTTGATTCCTCTGGGCTCTTCACTCATAAACCTGTTCCTTATTTTGGGAAATCACTTAACAATATTTGGTATTGTATTTCTTTATAGTTTTCTCAGTGAGTCAAAGAATTACCTTTTTGAAACTCAGGCTTGCTTACATAAAAATGCAAGTGTGGTTAAAACCATGTAGTAATTATCTTTGTGAACATAATTCATCATATTTGACAACTTTATTTAGTTTTGCATTAAAGGGAAAAACAAAAAGTTTATTCATGCAGTTTTTTTGCCACCCAAACACACTTAACATTTGCAAAAGTTAAGCAAATGACTTACCTCATTTTACCAATCTCGAGTTTCATCAACACTACACAACAGTACACAATGTGTACAACAGTACATAATGATGTAAGATGCAGAGAAAATACACAGAATTTTATTAGTTTTAACCTGGCAATTATGCTATGAAACTAGTTTCATTGAATTGCATTAAGATCATGCACGATAAACCTTTAATTAAGGAATCTGGGATACCCTAATGTGAATTTCCAGGTGGGCAGAATAATTATATTAAGCATGATCTTATGATCTTTATCAGAAATTTGAATATATACTATGCTAGTTCCTTAGAATTCACATTTCTTGCATTCATCTCTACAGTGAAACACATTCTTATGTCTGAAAATATGATAACTTTGGGGTCACCTAGATTAAATAGCCTTACCTTAAAATGGAATGATTATTAGCTATGCTTTTTTAAAAGACTTTTGAAACCAAATATTAAGCAAAATGAAAGACAACTTTGAAAACAAGGTAAAATGAAATAGTTAAAAAAAATTGAGTTTTATTTTTTGCTGAGTCTTAAGTCATTGTGGTAATAAAACCTTTAAATCATACCTGTAGTAAATTACTACCTTGTTAGTGTTTTCATCTGAAATTAAATAATTGTTAACCTTTCTGGGTAAAGGCTATATGTATAGTACAGATAGATTTCATGTATCACGTGTAAATACTTTTAATCCTAATAATTTACCAGTGTGTTTAGGTTATTGCACATAATGTTTCCTAAACTTTGTCACTTTTAAGCTTTTACTTTGTGAACATTAGATACTAAGTTTTATAGTCATCACTTTCTGTAAACACTTAAATGGAGGATCAGTTCCTATTAGGAAGGTAAAATAACAGGAAACAGGCTATTGACAAGAAAGCTTGCTAATAACTCATTAGTATACCAGTTGATGATGCATTTCCTAAATTCTCCTTGATTATTTCAATGTATGGCCTTCACATCAGTAAGGGAACCAAAGTCCAAGGTGTGGGATTGGATCCCTGGAAAAGTTGATGATTTTGACAGATGTATGTTACAGTGTTCCTTGGGGCAGGGGTTGGGGTAGTTCTTACACTACCAGAAATTTTCAATTTTTTTAGTAGTGCTTTTCCAATTTGATCTTCAAGGAAATTGCCAGAATTGGCTGCACTGTGTCTTGCTAAAAAATAAGGGATTTTGTAATGAACAAGTCAACCACTATAGTAAACATAAAGTAGCTTTCTTTTATGGGTGGCAGTAACCTTTCATTTTTGTGAGAAATGTTGAGGTGGATGGATTTATGATAGTTTCTTTTCAACATGAAGTAAGGAATATGTTTAGTATGTAGAAGGTATTTTCATTTATCATTTAAGTCTTCAAGTAAGCCTCCTCTGATAGATTTGTGGATGGGACATCAACTAATTTGGAGATTAATAAATCATGCAATGGTTCTCTACATAGGTTAAATGAGTTAAAAGGACATTCCCCCCTAAATACAAGTAAAATTCTGTACTTGTCTTTACTAAAAAGTTCGTTCTTCAGGTTTTCAATAAGATCCACAGTCAGGATGGGGAGGCATTATTCAGATCTTGGCCAGCAAGGTTGGAAGGCCCAGTGGTTATAATACCTGAGGATGTAAAGTGACTAGCAGTTCGGCAGGTCATGGTGAAATTACATTAAATCAAATATGTTCAAGATCTTTGAACTCCAGTACACATATAATTAAGTCTCTGAGATGTTTTGGCAGTGCTTTTATTACTAGGGCTAAGTCAGTTCCAGAGGCCCTTAATTTTTCAAGTTCCAGAATTTTTTTAATCAAATTTTTCTGCAAGTGAGTATTTTGTCCAGGCTCCATAGGAGCCTTGAGGGGCAGCAGGGATGCTGGACAACAGAGACAACTCCTGCTTTTGTGCAGAGAACTGTGCTTGGTGCTGTCCTTGAGATCCTTGGTACATTCAAGGGCAAAGAGTGCTGATAACTCTGCAGACTTTGGTAGGTATTGTATATCATATTTGCTTCAGAGGAAAGCTCTGTAAGAGGTCTCAGGCAAATTGGAGGAGTTTCCCAAACTCAGAGTATCCAAACCCATTTAAAAAACATGTTAAAGTTACTAGTGCAGATACACATTTGCAGATATCAAAGCCTTTAAACAAACTAGACCGTATCTTCACAAGAAATACATGATACATGTATCCCTTTCTTGTAGACAGTGGCAGCTACTCTTCATCCACTGACTGTAGCTTTCCACATTTCTCTGAAAGACTTGGAGATACTATTTTATTGCCTTTGTTTCCAAATTCAGAGAGAGGGGCAGGGTCCTCTGTTTCATAATCTTCAAAGGAGCTGCAAGAACAAAGTAAAAGTGAGTTTCCTAGCCAAACATTAAAACTTTTTAAAAAAGTCATGGTAAGCCAGAGACTGAAGACCAGTTTTCAAAAGTGCTGTCAGCTGCTAAGTGATCTATAAACAAAAGCTACCCTGAAGATCAGAAAATGCATTGCTTCCTCAAAGTCCAAGATAATGTTAGAATTGCTGAAAATGTGTTATGTCAAGCTTTCCCTATGGGCCTTAGGTGGGAAGGATAACATGATAGGAGACTGCATATGAAGTCCATAAAGTAAGAGCTTTACATAAATGCTTTCACTGAAGTGGCTTCCATGAAGAGTTGGGAATGTTAACTCTCAAGTTGCTTGATTGCTTCCATGGCTTCTGAGTAAAGATGCGCAAATATGTACAGAGAGTAGATTACAGCATATTGATGGATTTCCTTCTGTTTGCAGACTTTTATATTTCCTCAACTCAAGCCCCCTTTAGAGATTACTGGGTGGTGGCTTCAGGTAGAGTTGGCAAAATATTTTCTTTCTTGGGATGCTGTCTCCTTGAAGTATAAAGTTGAAAACAAACTACATCCGAGTCCAGAAAAATAAAATCAATTAGCAATGTCTGTTATTTGGCATCATCAACTTAGCCTTGTTATCCTTTACAGATAAGTTCATAATAACTGCACAAAAATTTTTGGGCATACCCCTTTATCAGTAAGGTACCAAGGCTGGCTAACGAGGAAAAATAGGATGAGGAATGTATATCCAGTAGGTGGCACTGATTTCTAAAGCATTTTTGAAAAGAGAGTAGAGATTAAAAAAAAAAAAAAAGGCCTATTTGATGTTTGGAAACTTCCTAAATAGCAATTTATGATCCATATTTACAAACTGATATTCTTACAAATACTTAATTCCGTATTTCCCACCCCATCTACATGCGTCAATTTAAACTGGGATATAATGGCTAAGGAGGCAGGGAGGAGGGTAGCTTTGTTTTAAATGGAGTGAAGCAGAGGTGACAGGAGAGCCTTCATTTCTGGGAACAAAACTCCAAAGTTAAATTCTAGGGATGCACTGTCAGGCACGGCTTATTTCAATTCAGAATAGTTCCAAATATTGGTGCCCTTCATTGTCATCTTCCAAGTGTGTTAAACATCTCGATGCAAATCTGGGAAAAGTTAGAGAAGTCTGAATTGAGACTTCTAGTGAAAGTGAGCTTCTGTGATTAAGCATAAGCCAAATGCTAGAAATAGAATGGTGAAAAGGTTGAGCCAATCCCTTCCTTACAGAACGTGTAGTCTAATTGTGGCCATCCAGAAAAGTGGTTAAGTGGTTTAGCTTAGAGTGTGGGCTTTGGAGTAAGTCTCCAAAGTCAGGTTCCAATTTCAGTTTGATCAACATGACTGGGTATGTTACTTAATCCCTCTGTCAGTTTTTTTTCAAGTAATGAGATAATAGTTATGAGGACTGAATGACATGGTAAGAGAACCAGAAACTCTTGGAAAATGTTAGGTATTCTCATGATGCAGAAATAGAATGCAGATGAAGCAGAACGGTGATACCTAAACCAGTATTTGGTGAGGGGTGGGGAAGCGGGCAGGATCACATTTGTGTGTGTGTGTGTGTGTGTGTGTGTGTGTAATTTCTGAACTCAAACTTTTACCTCTGTAGCTTCAAACCCAAAGTAGAATGTCACTGCATTTTCATTTTTGTACTTTGAAGGGCAAAAAGCAGTACAGTGGATAGAATTTTTATGAAGGTGCTCATTTAGAATATAAGTGGTCTAGAAACTAACTCAGGGGTTCTCAACTGGAGGTGATTACCCCCTCCCTGAAGAAGATATTTGACTATGGAGACATATTTGATAGTCACAACTGGGTGTCCTACCGAGAATCTAGTGGGTAGAGTGTAGGGATGCTGCTAAACATCCTACAGTGTGCTAGACAATGTTTTATAATAGAATTAACCCATCCCAGAACATAAGTGTTATGGTGATGAAACTCTGCTTTAACCCTTGCCTGTTCAGTATTACTACATTCCAGGATTCTGTTCTAAGTTATTCTGTATTTGCTCGATAACCAGACTTGCCTACCACTTACCCCCTGTGACTTCTAACTCTAGAATGAGCCCCTTTTGTTCCTTCTTAAGTCTATAGCTTAAAAGGAAGTCAGCTCCGACTATATGGCTTTTCCAGTATGCACCATATACAAACCTGAATTCATCCTTCCCAAGTCCCTGATTACTCATACTTTTATAAGTAGCACCATAATGAACCCACTCATAACTAGTTATTCCAAGTTCCTCTACCTTCTCACCTCCGCTCTCTTAATCAAGCTAGTCTCTACTCTCACAATAACACATGGATATAGCCCTGCCTTTCTCCACACTGCCTGTGATTTATTTCAGGGCACTATACTTGCTTAATAGAAGCTTTATGATACAGATTTAATAATTTCTTTTGGTAAAATAAGATTAATTGGTACTAGATGTTTTGGGAAATAAGAATTCAAGTATTTTAACAGTTGCAAATGCATGTAGTATTTTACTAGATAGTTTTTGTATTTATATATATAAGAGATATCTACAACCTCTTAATGATTAGATCTAGAAATTTAAATTTGCTTCAAAAAGATCAGTGATTATAACCTGAACTTGGTGTAAGTAATAGAAGACTAAAACAGAATCCTACTAGTTTAACAAGACTAAAAATAGGTTTAATCTTAATGCTTTTAAATGACTGATTTATACTGCCTTTCCTTTTTTCCCTTTTTCCTTGCTGTCCTCACCCTCAGAAGTTTGTTAGTTTCCACTATTTTTTTTTTGTTAAAGATTTATTTATTTGTGCATATAGAAATGGGGTACAGACTAGAGACTCAGGGGCGGCGAGAGGCTTCACCAGAGACAGAGTGGGGAGCAGAATAGGCAGATCGAGGAAGTACACTGCTGAGGGGAGCAGCGGGCGGGTCAGGAGAGGTCTGCCACGCCATGTGGTCACCTCCAGGGCAGGTGGGGATCGAACTCATGCGGAAGTGGCTTAAGCTTCTTAGTGCTGTGCTTTAACCCGCTGCACCACCAGGGAGGGCCACCTCTAGTTTTTATAAGTATTTTGGTGTTGTCAAATTGTCTGCTTATATAAACATACAATATTTGTCATTTTATTTGCTTTACAGCACAATTTCCTCAAGTTCCTTCCATTTTGCTATAAATGTTAACATTTTGTCTTTCCTTATGGCATAAAGGCTCTATTTACTGAGCACTATAAGAAAGATGACCAGAAATATTCTACCTGTAAGACCATCATCACCAAGGTTTTAGAAATTTAAAGCTTTAGAAATTTAATGCTTACTATTTCTTCCCAAATATACATATGTTGCCTACCCACACCTCCACTATCCCTGTTTCTCTGCTAACTTCTCCCCACTTCCTTGGAGACAGGCTCCACAAATTCCCTTTCCACTAGACTTGACATTCCTGGAAGATTGCTCGGGTGGATTTTGGTTGGCTTTCTTTGCCTAGTGTGCCTTATTTCCAATGCTGATAGAAGTAAATGCAGAACTCTTACATTCATGTACATTTATATTTAATATAATGGAAAAAAGTTTCCTTTAAAAACATTGTTGAAAAGAGTTCTTCTAAATTGTCTCAATAGCCAATGGGGAAATGGTGGCTATTGCTTGAGAAAATACCTGGAAGCATCAAGTACCATGTTTTTGTACACATAAGTAAACACGTGTCAAAAAGAAATACACCAAAGTGTAAATAATGGTTATCTTTGGATGACTGTACCAAACTCAGAATAAAAAAAATTAGGCCCTCCCTGGTGGCACAGCGGGTTAAAGCACAGCACTGAGAAGCTAAAGCCACTTCCGCATGAGTTTGATTCCCGCCTGCCCCGGAGGTGACCATATGGTGTGGCAGACTTCTCCTGATGCGCCTGCTGCTCCCCTCAGCAGTGTACTTCGTTGATCTGCCTGTTCTGCTCCCCACTCTGTCTCTGGTGAAGCCTCTTACCGCCCCTGAGCCAGTTCTGTATGCACAAATAAATCTTAAAAAAAATGATAAAAAATTGTTTAATGTAGTTTACTCAAATGTAACCTGTTGGTGAAATACTAGAATATATTTTAAGTATTTTTTTTATTATTTATTGATAGAAGAACTGGACTGTAGACTACAGGTGTGGGGGGTAAGAAGATTCATCAGAGACAGAATGGGGAACAGAACAGGTGGATCTACTGAAATACACTGCTGAGAGGAGCAGTGGGCATAACAGGAGAGGTTTGCTGTACCATGTGTGTTAGCTTCTTGGCCAGGGATTGAACTCAGGATGCACTGATGATAATGCTGACTTTTAAGCCCTATGCCACCAGGGAGGCCCAAAGAGAGTATTTATAAGATAAGCAAACAACTGAAATCTGAACTAATCAAGCAGTAGGTAAATCAGCAGAAAAGGTTTTCTATCAGGTCTGAGTTTCTTAAGATAGCGATATCCTTTAGATGCTTTACATACTTTTTGTGGTGTTTTTAATTTACCATATTACAAAAACGTTAAGAACATTAATTATAATAAATTTGGTGCCATCACCTATTATTTTCCTGTAGGTGACACATTTACTTGAACAGGTTCATGGAACTGGTAACTTGATCTTTTTGGTTTCCTGTATGACTTTATCCACTAACAGCATTTGAATCTCTACAAGTGTTGTTGTATGCTGAGTTCACACCTTGGGCTAGATGTGGTCATTCATAATATTTGTAGCCTCACCTGGGAACCCTTGGCCCTCATTCAGCTATAGAAATTTGGAGTCATTACTAGATTACTTAAGAACCAACCTTGATTCAGGAGGGACAGGCACTGGGCACAATGGCCACCTGTGATTATTGTTAAGAGGATCCAGTAGGTGGAGAATTAAAGTTGGTTTTGCAGGGTTAAGCTGCCTGGGATCCTACAGTTATCCTTGCAGTGGGGGGTAGCTGCTGGAGTATTGCTACCTCTGTGCCACTCAGCAAACATTTGCTAAGATG